TTTTCCCAATAACACAGTGGTCAGACATGGATTCTTCCTAAACCACTTCCTAAATGGATGGGGTTGTCATAATTGTTTTAAACATCACCTTCAGAGAAAAAAGGAAAATATCTAAAGTAAATAAATGTGAGTGTTGGATAGGAAATCCAGTGCTGTGATGTAAAGTCAATAATTTGGATGCAGTATGTAAAGATAAGTCCCGTGTGTGTGTTTTTAACTCCTCCAGGCTTCTCTCTACCTGCATCAGAAACAAGTTGCTTGACTCATCAGAGGTTGAAAGGGCAAGTTTTATATATATATTTAATTTTTAAATTTTTTTTAACTGAGAAAAATAATATTCCTTTGAGGGTTCTGTTTGGTACACCCCATGCAAGCATTTTCCCAGAAATACAGCTGGAACAGCAACAATGCAATTCATTTTTCTTGCTGTGACTAAAACAATGGCATCTAAATCCACACACCAAGGCTGAAGGTCGACTGATTGTGGAGACATAGCAGTTCTTGTTTTGCAATGGATTATGAATAACTTTGGGAAATGGAATAATATTGCTGCGAGTTGTCATGCCTGCCTACAGGCAGTTTTTTAACTCAAGATTTTCTTCTGTTTTGGATATTTAATAGAACAAAATTAGACACCCATTCAAGCATTCCCACACTTTTGCAAGGCAAAAAAATCCTCTTTTTTAAAAAAATGTAATTCACTTAGGAGACACAACCTTGAGCTGTCTTAGTATTTAAACACTTGCAAAAGGCATTTTGGTGGAAATGAGAAAACCCAGACCCAAGGGTCAGGGCCAAAAGCAGAGGAAATTGTGCTTTCAGGTTCAGCCTCCTCCCTGCAGGCAGTGCTGAAATGTCACATGTGGCATTCCATGTGGTGCTTCCAAATAACAGCTCCTTCCTGAGCTTGCTGGGAGAACATCTTAGCACAGGCAAATCCAGCCTTTGATCTTTGAGCTTTGTTGTTTCTCTCCACGTCTGCTCGCAGACAGTGCTCCCGTCATTCTGGGGAATGGTCTTTGTTTCAGAGGGTGACTAACAGCTGCTTAGCAAGGCACAGGGTGGACTCAGCCTTGAGATCAGAGGAAAAGAGGCACCATGGGCTTTTGCTGGTGCTTTGGAGGCTCAAGGCCCTTTTGTTTGAAGAGCTCTCAAGATGAAAGCATGAGCAATTCATTCCTGCACTCCAGCTGGGGCTGTGAGGGGAAGATGACGGTCCACGAGTGCATGACGTACTTTTGGAGACGAAAGCCACCAGACTTTTGGCCTTGTGCTGCTTCATGAATCCCTGATGATTAATTCCATGATTGCCTCTTACCCACTCAATGAGCTTCTATTCATAGCACAGTTCTTTCAGGAAATATTTTTCCCCCGAGTTTTGGAAAAAAGTATTGAAAAGTTGTGAGCTCCCTCTCTGAGGAAGTGATCCCCAGCACCTTATGCCTTGCTCAAGGTGCCATACTTGTGTGATTGGTTTGATTTTCCCTTCATTTCAGTTCTGGGATTACCCATGATGTGCTTCACCAGGAAGTACTGTTGGATAGGAGCCACCTGGTCTAGTGGAAGGTGTCCCCATTCATGGCAGGTGGGTTGGAATGGGTTGATCTTTGGCATCCCTTCCAATTCTAGCCATTCTGTGATTCTGTAAAAGCCCCTGGTGGTAGGGATGACATGCTGTCCTCAGCAGTCCAGCCCTGCCAGCAGTAGTGGTGGTTTTGCTGCTAATATGGATCTACTTACTTCAGTAGAAGCTTCTCTATGCCTGACCCCTACAGAAAATGGAGAGAAGCAAATTCCTTCCCTTTTGCAGCCATTTTTTAACCAACTGGAAGACAATTATCACATCTGTAGTCTGTGCCTCCCCTGGAAGTACTTCCTTAGTCCATAGACAGAAAAAAGTTGAAAGCCACTGCTCTGCTCTAACCAATATTAATCAAAGCTCTCATTCTCTGTGAATGCAGCTTGTGAAATCATTCCTGTTTTCTGCGCTTTCTTCTGATTCTCAGCCTCTCTTTCTCAGCTGCAGTTTGCCATCCCCTTCCCAGAGGCTGAGTGCAGCCCCCTTTCTGCCTTCTGGCTTGGTTTGCTGTTTCTGCACTTCTACTCTGTTCACACAAAAGCAGCTCTGTCTTGCCTGACACCAGTCTCCCCACAGTCCTGGGAACCAAGGCATAATCCTGCATCCCCTAGCAAAGCCATGGCATGTCCCCAGTCCCACACTCATTATGGAGCTCAGGAAATCGGCCTACTCGTGCTGCCAAGTACAATTTCATGCCTGGCCAAACATAAACTATGCCTGGTCAAATGTCTTGGGATTTAAGTGCTCACCTTTAATCTGCCATTCACTCTTTCTGCCTCATTTAGAAAGAGGTATAATCTCCGTGCAGCTTGCAGGTAAAGCCTTACACTGACAATTCAAGACTTTCAGGTAGCATGAAGATGGCAGAAATATTACAACAGCCTTTTTCCGGAGTTTTCTGTGCCTTACATAGTCTTTTCTGGGAAAATGTATTCTAATGGAGTCGTATGAATTTACAAATACAAATTGAGAGTACTACACTAGAAGAGTATTTGCAGTGCTCTGTGTGACAGGGATCAAGGCAGGCAGGCAAAGTTCACGTGTTCAGTGTCCTCAAGCTGGGACTAGAGAAAGTTCTAGTAGTTTTTGAAGAGTTAATCCACTTCTGTTACCCATTAATGTACATCAGCTTTCACCTTTTCTCAGTACTATCTTTTTGCTGTAACAGTAATAGCAAATAGTTTAAATCAATGCTCCAGCAACCTGACTGCTCTCTTACTCAGGATTTATGGGGGAGGTGGGCCAATCCCAGTACTAATGTCATGGTGTCATTAGCAGTATTACACAAAATTGTCCTCGAGGAATGGAAATGCACAGTGATGCTGAGCAGAGCATTCCTGTATCTGCCTAGTACCAAAGAACAAAAATTACTGGCTTTGGGGAGTAAATCCAAACAAAACAAGATTTCATGGAGAAAGATGCAAAATCCATAAGATAAATGTTTGCTAAACACCGGTGCTTGGGAGAAGAGTGATATATAACTACTAAAGCAGTGAAGCCTAAAATTAATATAACTTTACTTTTCAGTCATCCCTGAGATAATAATGCCCTGGCACCTCTTGTCATCCCAGCTGTGTGTGCTGGGGTGGTGTCAGGCCACATCACCCAGCCTGTAAAGTGGATGCAATACATCATTCCTCTTCTTACTAATCATCCTTAATATTTTAAACCAACTGAGAGATCATTTCTGAAAGACACCACATAATAGGGAGCTAAACATTATAGTTGTGCTGCACTAAAAGGCACATTCCAGGAATATTTTGACTGATTGATTATGATCCCCAGCTCAGGCACAGCCTCCTGGGCAATGTCTTAGCACTCTTCCTTTCTTGCCTCAAGTGAGTCTGTTTCCCATATCTTCCTTCCAGGAAAGAACAACTTCACAGAGCAAAATTGGTGAAATGGTGGCATCCAATGGCTGGTCTCAGATGGCCAATGCCACCTCATGCACTCTGACTGCTGTCACTGACCTTTGCTTTTCACCCCAAACCAGAAGCAAACAGTATTGTGAAACATCAGAGATCTCTGAAACAAAAAAACCCACCCACACAGCACTGTCAACTGTGCCAGATCTGCCTCTCTCCCCACCCCCCAAAAAAATGCAACATTCACTGCTGAGAAACTAAGTCTGGAGAAAGTTTGGCTTTTTCATTTAGTTTGATGCTTTTGAGACAGCATTATTTACCAGAGATGCATCTGCACGTAATAGCTTGGGCCTTTTGAGGTAAGAGTGAGAAGAGTGTCATGGGGGGAATGTAACTCTGTGCTGGGATAGGAATAGGGATGATGGTGTTTTTCTTCACAGAGAAACAACAAGCAGAAGGAATCAACAGGGTAATAATTGAGCTTCTTGGCAGTTTCCTACAAGAGCCACATATTCCACATTTAAAAGCCCTGGGAGGCCTTTCTTCTCTTTTCTTGGAATGTGAAATATGGCTGTAATCAACACTGGGTCTTCCACAGAAGACAGCTGGACAACAGCAGCTCATTTTGGAAAGCACATCCCTTCCTTTTTCCTTGCTCAGCTGGCCCCAGGGTCTGCTTTGCAGCCCAGACTGAGCATACCCCTGCCCAGAGGCACCCCTGCTCCTCACCTATCCTGGAACCCCCTCTCCACTTGCACAGCAGTTGGGGCAGGGCTGATCCATGGCCTTGCCATAATGGGGTTAACCTTAAACTGGTTTGCTCAAGAGCAAGCAGCCAGAGAGCAGCAGCTCCCAGAGGAAGCTGGCTGTGCGCCTGCCACTCACTCACAGGATGCCAGGCTGCAGGATCTGAGTGTCCCAGGAGAGGCTGTGACAAAAGGCAGACCATTGTGCCCAGCTTTCCTCCATGACTTCAGGGGAGCAACTTGCTTTTATTAGGAAACGGAAACCGAGCACCTTATCTAATCCCAGGGACAGGCAGCTGGGGCTCGAGGAAAGGCAGCTGCTTTGTGGAGTGTCTGCCAGACCCTCCAATCTCAAATCATGACTTTTAAAAAAACCCCATTATACATTTAAATAATGCACTTGGGAAAATGCTCACGCTGCCTTGAGTGAGGTGCATATGCAGTAGAGGGAAATTTCTGATGCACAGAATCTCTCACTGAGGCTTTAGTGCCTCAAATCCAGCACTCCAGGATTGCAGTTTTAGAAGTCTCAAGTCGAGCTTGTAAAAGTCAAAATCCTCTTTGTATCTCTCCCACTCAGTCAACCCTTCTAACAATAAATGTGAGTCTCTCAGCACTGATGCTGGGAAGGGGAATGTAGCTCACAGACCCAAGGGGAGGGGGTGTAATCACAGAGCTCCCTGCTTGCACCATGTCCCCAGGGAGGGGAGCTCTGAAGGGTTCATGTGTTCTGCACACCTAATGGGAGACTCAGATGATATTTTACTTCTCCTTCTCCACAGCAAGTACAGGGAATCACCAAGCTGAGTGTTTGTGGGAATTGTCGTGAGATGTATTAAAGAGTGATGCAGCGTAGAAATTCCGCCCAGGATTTCCTGCTTCATGCTCTCAATTTATATCTCATATTTCAAAGCCAACTTTAGAAAAACACCTTATTTTGACTGTGGAGGTAACAAGTCTACCTTAGAAAAATTTTCATATGATTATAAATTAAAGGTGCACTCTGTGCTTCATTATCCATCAGAACTTTTCCCTTGGCCTGTCACCAGCACCTGCTGCTCACCCAGGCTGAAATTTATGCTGGTGCAACCCAAAGCAAAGGAAACAAAAGAGATTCACTGCTGATGCAGTAAGCTCTGCTGCCAGAAAAAATAGTGTTCAAGGCTATGCCATGTCTGCATTTATCATTTTAGTAGGTCATAAACACAGTAGGTCATCTCTGTAAAGTCTTAGATTAAATCCTGTGGAGGGCAACCTAAAGGATAAATTGAATTAAATAAAATCAGATTTCTACAGGTTTAGGCTGTTGAATGCTTCTTTCAGCCTCCCCTGCAGATGCTGGATGTAATGCTTTGGATCCTTTGTGGAGTTAACCCTGTGGTGATCCATGCCCATCAATGAGATGATGCTGGTTTACACCAGAGGAGGATCTCATCTATAGCACTGTCTGTCCACCTCACATTTGGTTTCGTACTGCAGTCAGACTGTAACAGATTTCTTGAAATGCATTTAAACACACAAGAAAATGGACTAGAGCCATGGTGGCAGCTTGGAGCTCTCCACATGGCATATCCGATCAAGACATGTCTGTACACATGGAGATGTGATGGCATGAACAGACCTTCAGTCCAACAGGAGTTCTGCAAGGCAGCCCTTGACTGAGGAAAATCTGCTGAAAGGCCAGAGGGGCTGTGGGGGCCACCCTGGAGGGGAGAGCATTCCATGTGCTGCATGTCCTGGCATTGGGGTTTGGTTACCCAGTGTTTTCCTCCCCAAGCAGGTCGTGGTTTCTGGCCTCAGGTCACAGCGTCATGACCTTGTGTCATGCTAGCCCAGCCAGTTGGTTTGTGGGGGAGGAAATAAAACTTGGGTGCTACCACATCCCTGCCCAAGTTCTGCCCCTTGGTTGCTCATGGGCACTAATTATGAGGGAGGCTCTTGCTCTGCTGCTGTATAATTATGCAGAGCACAGTCCAAGCCTTAATATAGGGCTGAGGCCTTAATATAGCTCTGAGTGAATTGCTTTTGGTTTTCTATTGTTCTTTGAAAATATATTTAATCTTGTACTGAACAGAGGAGGAGTTTCCTAGCAATAGAATCCATATGGAGCATGAGGTGGACACTGTGCCTGGGCTGGAGCTGCTGCCCAGCAGCTCTTACAGGAGGTTGGTGTCTTGGTGCGTTGTTGTCTTTGGGTTCTGAACGTGGGGTAGCAAGTTCAGGAAAGTACTCCTTTCTCCACAGCAGTCAAAAATTTGGGTTTGCAGAGGAGCAAGGTGGATTAGTAGATTTTAGATCATGTGTAGAGGCAGTGTAGGAGGAGGCAGGATGCTGACTTTGGTCCTGTGTTAGAAGCAGCTGCAGATTACTGGAACATCAATTTCAGCAAAGAGCGTGCCGTCCTTCCCTCCACTGGAGCTCTCCTGTGCATGGCACACTTGCTGAAAAATCGCCGCTCTCCTGGCGCGCCCCAGCCCCCGGAGTGCCAGGATGGCCAGGATGTGCTCTTTCCTGCAGAAATCAAACAAGACCTGGCTCAGATCTAGCTGGCAAAACCAGCAAGATGGTTTTTGTGAGCAACCAACAGCTGTGCTGGAGTCAGAGCAAGGCTATAGCAAAGTGCCAGGGACTGACCCCTCACCACACTGGAGGAGCCACCAGCATGGGAGTCTGCAGCCTCTGGAGGTACCAAACCAGCAAGCAGCAGCTCCTGCCACACCACACTGGTGGGACAGCCTCCTGCTGCTGGTGCTGCAGGGAATTTCCTCCTCTCTCTACACCCATGATGCCCTTTGCGTGTTTTCCAGAGAGGCAATGGACCTTTTGTGTAATGATTATTTTGAGATGAGTAATGGAAGTGCTAATATTTAGGAAGCTGATAGACACTAATGAGATTAGAGCTGGAAAGCCAGCTTGGAAACATACCCTGTTCCAGTAATCTCAGTGTATACAAATTCAGCAATGTCTCTGAGAGCTCAGGGGAAAAATTAACAGGGACCTGAACAGGAAGCAATGCAGGTCCAGCAGGTTCCACCTCGTTTTCCGAACTTCATTGTTAAAGTAATGTTACTCAATAATGGAAAAACAGAAATTAAATAAACCAAGAGAACAAGCCTTAAAACGTGGCTTGGGACTGAGGCTAATGATGAAAAACTAGCACAAATCACAGCCTTGTAAATGGCTTTTCTGACTGGAAAATGGTTTTCAAATATCATTGATGATTAGCTGTCATTTACCTCCCCCACCTTCCCAGAACAGGCACTGCCTCTTTTTCAGCTTAGTCTGGCCACTGGGATTAAACCCTTATTGGTTTATTTATTTGTTTGTTTTTTTGTTTGTAGTGATTTTTTTTTTTGTAAGATAGGTATGTTCACCTAGGAAATTACTCTGGAACAATTGTTCTTTTACATACCCTTGTCTTGAATTCCCCCACACAGACAAGCCTGAAGAATATCTGAACTACCCAAGTTAAATCTAGTTATGAAAAATTTTGAACCTCAGTTTTAGGGAGAGGTGAATATATTTAATGTGATCTTTTTTTCTCAGTATCTGAGGGTCCACTACAGTATTCTAGCAATTAGTTAAATCTTATGGATTATTTTGATTGCATAAATGTCATCCAGTGCTGAAAGTTTTGGTGGGTTTTTTTTCTTTTTTTTCTTTTTTTCTTTTTTTTGTTTGGTTTGGTTTTTGTTTGTTTGTTTTTTTCTGAAATTACATTCATGAAATGTAATTTATTGTAATCTGTACTACTGATATTCATTCTCAGTAGTTGAAAGAAGAGCTGTAGAAGAGAAGGTAACTTCTGATTTGCAGCTGCTTAGCCATGCACAGAGCTAGTCACTTTCTTTACTTTTCCAGGAGTTTTAAATTTTCCAGATGCAGCCTTGGAACAGAAAATGGAAAGTACAAAAGAAAGAATTTGTAATTTATTCCAAAATTTAATGGCTGTGTTGAGGCCAATTCAGAAATTGCAGCTGAACTGTGTCAATGGCTGCTACACTTTGAGGTCTGGGCCTGGGAACAGGAGACAAACTATTTGCTCCAAATCTGGAGCCTGCAAATTGGCAAACAGGGCTGATACTGGTGATGCAGTGGAAAACAAACTGGAGCTTCACTGTGAAATAAGGTTCATTTAGAGCAATAAAATGGAATTCAGTGATAGAATGCATGGGAATGGTTCAAAACTGTGTCAGGGGAGCTCTAGACTTGACATTATGAAGCATTTTTTAAATGAGGTGCTAGAGCAGGTTTCCTAGAAAGGTAGTTGATGTCCCAAGCCTGTCAGTGCTCAAGAGGCATTTGGACAATGCCTTTAATAATTTACATTAACTTTTGGTCAGGCCTGAAGTGATCAGGAAGTTGGACTGGATTATCACTGTAAGTCCCTTCCTAATAGACTGAAATAGTTCTATTCCATTCCATTCCATTCCATTCCATTCCATTCCATTCCATTCCATTCTCAAATGAAAGGGCTTTGAAGGTAATTTATGTACATTATATGATACAGCACACAGGGGAAAAATAGAAAAAGTGTGCAGCCATAAAGAGAGAAAAATAAATTGAGATCCCACTGTTGCTGGCATCCTGATCTCTAATGTGTGGCTACCCACAAAGATAAGTTGAAGAGCTCAGCCCAGGCACAGGAAAAGCTGGTGCTGTTTGGGATGGAGCCCAGCAGTTCTGGCATCTGCCACTTCACGTACCTGATGTCTGGGTAGTCCTGGCACAGCTCCTTGACATGTGCCTTGATCTTGTCTTTTTTCTTCTCCCCAATGATACCGGCAATGTGATATATGAGAGGGAGGAGCCAGTCAGCTTTGGAGCCCTGTGGACAAAGAATCACATGGGGACATCAGGGACAGCAGCACCTGCTAAATGCCTTTTTCCCTGCAGGGAGAGCAGGGCAGTGGGATGTACTGGAGTGAGCCAGGACTGGTGCAGGCAGGACAGGCTGCCTCAGGCAGCAGCAGGGTGCTGGGTGGCAATGGCAAGACACCCCTGGGGGCTCTCCCAGACCTGACCCTGCACTTCTCCATTCCCACGAGCACCCAAGCAAGCCAGACCCTGAGCAGGGCATTGTGGCTGTGGTCCAGCATAGTAGCAGGAGCCAGAGACTTCACCTCCTGCTGCCTGATAGCTTCATGTGCCTCATCTCTGAGATGGGATTTAGTGCCCTGGATGCCTGACTTTCCACAAAATCCAAGTAATTAAACTTTGACTTCCCTGAAAATCCCAGACTGTTGCTGTGAGAGACAGGAATGTAAAAGGTTAACAACTCAACCAACTGCTGTCCTTGTTTTGACCAGCAGACCCTTAACCTGCAACAATCAAGTCTTGTTGCTGGATCTACAGGTGGTAATACCTTCATTTCTGCTATCTGCTTTTATCCTTTCTTACTTTTCCTTATATATTTTCTTAAGTGACATTTTTGTATTTTTATAATGTTCTATTACTATAGGTAATAACCAAAATGGCTACATACCTCCTTTCCATTGTAATCAAATTGTTTTAAAATAAAACAGCCATATACATACACACACATAGACAGAGACACACACATCCATCTATCTATCTATCTATCTATCTATCTATCTATCTATCTATCTATCTCTATATATCTCACCCCAGTCATTCAGTGTTGTGCTACTCTAATCTTGCCCAAGGGATTTATTAACAGGAACATCAGTTACCCCACCTTCAGGGTTGGCTTGTAACAATTGTCCATCACAAAACACTCAGACTCCCACCACTTTGTCTCCACACTCTGCTGCACACAGACTGTGTACCCAGATGGAATTTCTTATGGGACTCAACTCCATGAACTGTGTTCAAGGCAGGGATCCTTTGGTGACAAAGTGCATCCCATGGCCTGAGGGAGCAGGCCCAGGAAGAAGCTGCCACAGGATGAGTGTGATCCTACAGCACATGAACAAAGCTCCCTGGGAACACATTAAAACACCAGGTGCTGCCATCAGAGAGCTGCAGGCTGAGCATGCACGTGCTGCCAATGCAGAGAGGCTGCCAGGCTGGAAACCCACACCATGAGCCTGCAGTAACCACCCTGCTCACTCTTTTCAGCACTTCTATATTTCTTGAGGCTTGTCCTCCTCAAGAGCCTGCTGCCTGGTCCCTGTGAAGCCAAGTGGGGAAATTGCACCTCTGGGAGTGGGACAGCCGGGGGATGCCAAGAAACAACTCCCATACCTGATCAATGAGTGTATTGTGAATGATTGCAGCTTCCTGGCTCATCTTTCTGCTCACTTGCTGACGTGTCTCACTGTTCATTTTCCATCTGGGTTTGAAGATCTGTGTGACATATTCCTTCACCACGTATTTATGAACTTCATGTAGAAGCTCCTGGTTAAAAAGAAGCAAACCTCATGGGGTTTTTTGTCCATTCAAGGCCAAGGCAGTGAGAGAGGGCAAGGAAAGCCCTCAGGTCTTTGGCAGCACCTGAGGGCATAGGGGAGGTACAGGAAGGCAGCACACCATCAGCACACACTCATATCTGCAGCCCTCAGAGTTATAAAGAGCAACCACTGTTGCAGAGGAGTCTGCAAGTCTTACCACAGCCTGAAAGTGATGGTGTGGCCCCTCAGCATTCCTATGTACAGGTGTGGGACTGGCTGCCTACCTGCCCCAGGGGCTTCCTCATGTGCTGCAGGTGCTCGGAGAACTGCGAGACTGCCGACACCAGAGAGTTCGGCCTTTCCGTCGCCAAAATCCAGTTCTTGGTCAGGATTTTCTTAAGGAGTGGCTGAAAAAAGACCAACTCACTGATGGTACAAGTATGTTCAGAGTAGCTGATGATGCCCTAGCTGAAGGCACACAGCTATACACCTGATCTCAGGCCTGAGCTGAAAGCACAGAGCCCCCCCTCTGCATGAAGACACACGAGGAGCAGGCTGGGCTTCTCTCTCCACCCCAGGGAATTCACACCCATGTATCCCCTTCCTGGGTAGGCATGTATGCCAGTGTTACATGGAAACAAAAATTCACTTGGTAGTGAATCTCTTGGAAATTAGCCCAGTAATCCATCACCTCTACAGCCTTCTCCATAAGCAAAACAAGCTCTTTGTGTTTACAGCCCTTCCAGGAGGCTCTCTGTACTCCTGCACACCTGCATGAAGTCTTGCTGGGATCTTCCTTCTGCTCCTTGCTCTGATGTGGTGGTGGGGAGAATGGCAGCTGGGAGCATCTACAGCTTTATGCCTCATGGTCAGGGATGACATGGGAGTGATGGCACAGTTTCCCATCTGTCCTGGGTACAAGGTACTCTGATCAAGTGTCCTTAACAGGTTATTTTCCTTTGTTGGGTCCATAGAGCTAATGTACCTTCATACAGAAACAGCAATATCTGCTAAAGACTTCTGGCACCTGGAAGACCCTTCCCTAAAGGTCAAATGAAAAATATCCTTCTTCTGGCATGTCCCCTTTTCTCTTCCTAGCTCTCATGCTCTCTTTCTTTAGACTCCTGGCAATCTCCTTCCCTTATCTCCCCCCTTGCTGTGCTCCCAGCCTGCCTGAGAGTTGTTTAGAAATGCTTTGACTCGGCTTCTCTCAGTTCTCACGACATTTCAGCTCGCTTGCTCAATACCTTGGCTCAGGGCCTTTCCTCATCTGCTGCTTAGACTCCAAGACAAGTTCTGCAGTCACTGGAAAGTCCCTTTGGCCAGGAGGGCTTGGCTAAGGTTGGAGAAATTCCATGACTGTCCTGGTTTCTGGAAGTTATGTTTGGGGATTTAGAAAGTGAATTAGGGTAAGTGAAAAGGGGTGGGACAAAAGGCTTGATTTCCCCCATCTCTTCTATAATACCAGCTGGAGCTAGCAGATCCCAACTGGCTGAGAGCAGAAAGGCTCATTTACACCACCTGAGAAGCACAAGCTTCATTGCAGCACATTGCCTTTTAGACCTCTTAGCAGAAGTCAAATTTTATCAGAGTTTTATCAGTTGATACAAGACCTTTAGCATTCTCATTCTGGAATAATCAGTCTTTTGTCACCATGGGAACAGCCTGGAAAAATCACCCCTACCAGAATGAATTCTGTCCTATCTGAAGAGGTTTCTGACAGACTGTGATGGTAGATCTATGAATCAGTAAGTCAAAGTCCTGAAAAATCCAAATTATTTGATAGAAGGAAAAGCATCCTATTGGTGGTGTTCAGCTGGCCTCTCCACTGCTTCATTTCAGATAAAATTCTGCCCACTGCTTTGCCTGAGAGACTGGAAGCTGCTAAATATCCTTTTCTTTTGATTGCTATTAACAGCTTGAAAAATTTATCATTGCTCATAGCAAAAAATTCCCAGGATGCTGGAAGTGTTGCTTTTTAAGGGGGATTTCCACAGGTGATAAATACATTTTGGAGGGACCATAATGTCATGTGCTGCAAAATGAGGCTTAGTGAGACAAGGGAAGGGCAATGACCCTCAGCTGCTGCACATAACCCTTATAATGAGGAAATAATGTGGCCAAGGTCCTCTTACCTGTGTTTTTGTTCTAAATTTTGTTAAAAAAATATTTGTGAAGTTCCTTGTCAGAGCTGCCAAAATCTTCTGCAGTTCCTCAGTATTGGCTTTAAACGTTGTTTCTAACCCTGACCTACAGAGAGACAGAGATCAGCAATGAGTTAATGTTAAAATGTAAACTATTACATGGCCCTAAGCATGTTATCTGGATTGGCATGTTAGATATTATTTTTAAATAAACTTGTGTTTCTACTACTTCCTCCTGGAAACACTTACTGAGTCAAAGTAATGGCTCTTTTTGCACAATCCTGTAGACTGAAAATTAATCATAGATGAGTAACTGTGGTTAAAAACCCCCTCAGATTTCCTCATCAGGTGGGACAGTGCAGCCAGTTGCTTTTTCACTCTGCAAAATTATTTCCAGGTACCTGTGAGAGAACTGAAGGCTATGGGGGAAAAGTAAATAATAAAGCCGGAGAAGGGAAAGCTGCTGACCCTGTGTCCCCCAGAGCCTGTCTGATTCACTCCACACAATGTCTATCAGCAGCAGCTGGGATGGTAACTGCAGGGATGGAAACCTGTGGAATTTCCTAAGGACAGTGCATACTTCTGTGATGTTTCACCTTGCGAGAAAGAAAACCTCTGGGAGGTTAATGAAATTCCCACTGTGTGGGTGTGCTTCAGGGGCATTGTGACCTCCTGGATTTCTTCTCATTTTCCATCCCTGTCCCACTGTAACATGCTCGGTGTTGGTGAGGTGGGGAACTGAGGCAGCACCATCACAAAAAGAAGCATCACCAGTGATGCCTGAGCATCCCTGGGTGTGCCCCATCCACTGCTGTAACCACAGAGAACAGCAGGCTCCTGTCACTGCCCAGATTTGTATGTCTGGGGCTGCCCTGGCAGGACTACAAGGCACCCAACACCATCCCTGTCATCCCAGGCTGGAGCTCAGGACTGTAACTCCAGATGAACACCTGCAGTCTGGGTCCAGCATCCAAAAAAATCGTGCTGTTAGGACACCTACCTCTGCCCCACAAGTCATCACCCCAGGCTGATGAAGGCTTAACTTGACTCAGGAATAAACCCATCACCCAAACACTGCCAGCTCCCTGTCTGGGGCTGGCGTCTCCCTTCAGCCCCTCTCCCCTGCCCAGCAGGGAAGGGGCTGCAATGTCCCGCAGGAGAAGCAGGAGGCTGGGAAAGCCATTTCCTCGGCGAGGGGAGCATTGCTGGAGAGACCGTGCCATCTAGAGACTTGCAGGCGGTAGTGCTCGCTGCGGCTGGAGCCGTCGGCTCCTGCGAGACACGGCACGAAATCCCCTCCATCCCCTGAATAATACTCGACACATGCATTCCTGCCGGAGCAGTGCAGGAGCTGGAAATCACACCCCAATCTTTCGGGAGGCCAGAGCCCACGCGCTAATCCTTGTGGTGTTTTCCCGGGTTGACAAAAAAAAAGCATCTGCATGGCAAAGATGTCCCCAGATGCTGATGAGCCCCTGGACCTCAGCACGGGGCTGATGGAGCAGACCCTGGGACACGCACTCACTGCCACCATCCTGCTTATGGGGTGAGTGGTAGATCCTTGGCAGTCAGCCTGAGGATACCTGTCCATCAGAGACACTTCCCAACATGTGGCTTGAAGTAACTAATTCATGCAAAGCCCTGGTAGTTCCAGATGCCAGCAGCAATGGCAGGCATTTATTTTTGGGTTGAGTGCTTTCATGGAGTTTCCTCCAGCCCACTGCCAAAGGCAGCCTTGAGGCCATGTTTCTGAGTTTATTCTGCTAACCCCCAGAACAAAAAAAAAAGGGGGGGGGAAACTCCCCTGAGGATGAAAAAGATGCTCTAAAAATGAGTTCAAAACTCATGCAAAGGCTGCATCCATCCACATTTCTGTATCTTCACCCTTGTGGCTTTTATTTGCATCCTTGGGGGAAATCCTCCTGTGAGATTAGAAGGGCTGGAGGCTGAGCACTCACCAGGGCACCTCAAGGAGAGCTTGGTCTTTCCTTTCCAGATCCTGCCACCCCCCAGAGCCCAGAAAAGTGGTTCAGGGGGAGCAGACTTACACCAGGTCATGGAAGCTGTTGATGTAGGCAACAAGGTAGGGCACAAAGATGGGGCTGTCCTGGGCAGTGCTCCACGCCATGAACTCCTGCTCAAACCTGTAGGAAAATACAGCCAGGTATCACTAACAGTGGGGCACTGAGGGTGCCTCATCTTCTGTGTACATGGTGCTGTCAGGAGACACCCGTGGCTGGCCCAACCTGTCCCCTCTGTATGCAGGCAAGCTTTTTCCAGCTGTCATAACAAGTGTGTGCAGTGGAGGGAATAGATGGCAGGTAATTGTGGGTTTAGGATGTGCTCGCTTGAGCAGGTACAAAAGCAGGTACGCTTTTGGAGAGATGCCAGGGATGTTGGGAGGCCAAATCTCTGACTTTTCCTCATGCTGAGGGTTTAATTGCAGGTGTGGTACACAGGCTTATAAGTCTGAGCCTTCATTTCACTGGCTTTTGGGGCAATATATTAAGTGCCTTTTGAGAACACAGGGCTGATTTTATAACAGAAGACGTATAGGAATAGGGCAGCACACCTACTTTCCCTCCCTGAAAAACCTCAGTGTGGTTGTTAGGTAGTTGTTTGGTTTTTCTTTTGTAGCATCAAATTCATGGGGTTGACAGCTGTTTCACAGCCAGATCCACACTGAAGGCAGGAGGCTGTGTGCTCAGGCAGCCTTTGCCTGGTGGTCCCATTCTTTGTCAGGGTAAAGGAATCTGCTTGAGCTGACCCCAGCCACTTGCATAGTTTTGTTCAAGTAAAAGCTTAAGTTTCAGTGTTCCCTTAATCTGAGAGCCCTGGCGGCTCCAGTTTGCATTTTACACAGTTTTTGGTTGTTTGTTTTATTTTGTTTTGTTTTCTTTTCTTTTTAAGTAAAAAAGAAAGAAAATGAAAAATTAAGAAAAAATAAAAAAGATAGCAAAGAAAAGGAAAAATAAGAACAAAGAAAAAACATTATTTCAGCAATTTCCTTTGGACACTGGGTAAATGTTAAGGGACTCAGGAGGCAGCCCAGCTGTGTGTTTTGCCAGGGTATAGCAGAGAGGGTCTCATAAGCCATTTTTTGTGCCCATAGCCAGAGAAAACCACTCAGCAGAACTCATCCCAGGATACCTAAATGATGTTTTGGGCAAACAGGCTTTTGGTCTGAGGGGTCCATAAACACTGCTTGCTCATGACTGAAGCTGCAAGTGATCAGTGTCCAATGTCACAAAAGTCCTGGTGAATGGGACTGCAGTGATCCCATCCCTTTCCAGGTAGCAGCTACTTCCCAGACCTCTGACATTAGGGTTTTGGACTCACAAGAGTCCCATCTGGGTCTGTTTATGACTCCCTCCCAGCTGTTTTGCAGCTTGCTATTTACTGGGCTCATCGTGATCTCTAATTCTCTCAGGAGCAGCATTGTGCCTGCTCAGTGCCAGTGTCTGGTCCAGTACCTGGACCTTTTTCCTGTTTGGTTTTTTTTTTTTTACCAGTATGGAACTCATTTAGAAATAAAGTACTGCCCAGAGCAGTGATGACCTTGGTATGAATTCAAGCAGCTCTGCCATGCACAACTCAAGCATTTTTGTTTCCAGGCTTCTGCTGATAGCTCCAGCTAACTTCACATGCTGCCCAATGATCTAGAAAAGGGAATAAAGACACCCCAGTGAGTGGGACAAGCACTGGTGAAACATCCTTCACAAGGATCTCATGCAGCTTTGGCTGGTAAGAATGGCTCACCTACAAAGGGGCAAACAGCCAACTGTTGCCAGGAGGGTTTCATTAATCTCTGGCAGTTTTAAAAATTATAATGCAGAATGGGTCAAGAAGCACCAAATGATTTGTGATGTCATCATTCACCCCTAATGGCCTCATGTCCTGCTGTCTGAGTGTGAGTTAGAGGCAGTGTTGGCTGGAGCTCTGGGGTGTCATCCTCCTCTTTTGGGGGAATTGCTGGAATTCCCCCGACCCAAAGCCCAAGGGGAGCTGAGCTGTCCCCGTGTATGACCCCATGATAAGGGTGACTATGAGCCCATCCCTGAGGCCCCACAGAAGCCCCCTTCTCAGGAGTGATAGCAGGGCAGCACAGAGGGTCAGCATCACCCTGAAGTCTCGTTTGCACTGGAATTCCTCACAGATTCCCATTCCCACAACCTCCTGCACTTCTGGACTAAGGCGTGTTGCAGTCCTACTCTAGTACTTCCCATGTCTTCCTATTCATCTGCTAAATCATTTCAGACCTGCCTTCCCTGTGATCACATAATGTGTCATATTCCTCTATGGAAAAAGAGTCACATCAGCAGGCAAAACTCTTTGATTTTCTTTCTTTCTCTCTCCCTCTCTTTTTCTGCTAGTATTATTTAATTGAAGTGACTCAACCAATTGAGTGATGAGAATTAATCCAAACCCCTCCTGCCTTTATTACCCTGTAGTCTCTAAGCTAGTAGGGGCTTTTGTTTTTTGTACTGTTTAAATTGGAGTGGCTGTCACTGCCTACAGCCTTTCCCCAGCTTCCACAGCCCTGGGACAAAGTTGTTCTTTAAGCCAAAGGTTTTTTCAAAGAAACCTTTTCTTTCCACCTTTTTTCCAATTCTCTTTCTTCTTCCTAATCAAAGAGGTTTAGGGACTTTAAAATCAGTTGCCTATTATGTTGCTGACACAATTGACAGCAGGTTTAATTTGCAGCTAGAAGGCAAGCGGGAGAGCTAAAAGTTGTAATAAATGGCATTTTCTGCTCTAATGTATTCTGCCAGTGTGTGACTTACATAAATTATCGCAGGAGGCGGTACCTCCACCCCAGAAGGAAACGATCCAGTTTCCCTGGAGCCACAGAGACACCCCCTCCCTCCCCCCCCACTTTCCCCCAGCTAATTCAATACCGTTTGAATATCAAAAGAGAGTGAGGCGTGGTAGAGGTTTTCCTTCTCTTCCAACTGAACTTCCTTCTCCCACTTCTCCGTGACCTCTAGTCTCAGGATGTTTCCAAAATAACTTTTGATTTTCCCCTAAATGTTAAACATAGGAAGGAAACATGCAGCTCAGGATAATGAAGCAAACACAAGTGCAGCACCTCGCTGCATTTTGTTCCATCAGCACATGGGTGTGGCCACCACACACGGCATGGCAAGGTGGAAAGGTGAGCACAGTCACAGGTCTTGCTCCAGACCTCAGGAGAAATCAGAAGCTGTGCTCTGTGTGTGCAAGGTACTCCCAAATCAAAGGAGAGTCGTTCTCCTGGCAGGGAAACAGTGGGTCAGCTGTTTGTTTGATTGCAAAGTCCTCCAGCACATGGAATGCACAGGTCAGGATTAAAGATCAAACCAGTCCTTTCCAGGGTACAGCCAGTCAGGTAAGCAGCAGCACTGTTCAGTCCTGGCTGATAAATCAATCTTGTTGCTGGTGAAACAAAGTGATCTTTCACCAGCATGGTGGAGCAATACTGATTTCATTCAGCTGGGTACCTTGAGCTCACCTTGAGCCGTGCCCTGATTCAGAAATGATTTGCAAGAAAATGTCTGAGCCCAGCAAAGAGCCAGGAAAATCTTAGTCTTACACAGGGACAAGGACTGCAGAAAGACAACGGGGAAGTGCCTTCATCAGAGGACACAAACCATGAGTGTGTCCTCTGGTGGGGGATGCCCAAAATCTGCCAATAGCACACCTCAGATGTGCTGGAGAAGATCCCACACAGGGACAGTAGCTGCTAGAATGCCTTTGCCCCTGACTTTGCAATGCAAAGTACAATCTGCTGAAACCCAGCAACGACCTTTCCATAAGTGTCTGTCATACTGAGTGGGTCTGGTACAGTCCTGTTGGCTCTGCTTGGGTCACCAAGGTGGTGTTCAGGAATTTTTTGCTTTAGAGGACAGGCCACTCTGTGTGGGGCCAATAGGACTCAGCACCTGGTGGGGCTGGAAACCAGAATGTAGTCATCCAAAACCTCTGTCTGGGAGGCTGGGGCTCCTGTACCTTCCCTGGGGTGCACATGGGGACTAGGTCAAAACTCTCACCTTTGCAGAAGCAATGTAGTCATTTTTCAGTTTATCCCAGTCAGCTGGTGTTAACAGCAAGGACAGGTTTTCTGTCTTAACCTCTGGTTTGAGCTCAGGATGACCCAGAAAGAGTTCACTGGAAAGAATCAAATGAAAAAATTATAATGCCTCAGAGTGTGAATAAACTGATAGAATATTCATGCAGCATGAGCTACATAATTACTAAGCCATGAGAAATATACTTAAAGCTTAAATTGTGCTGCTTGTTTTCAAGGTTTAACAAGAAAATCTTTCCTTTCTATTCAAAATCCTAATTATTCAAACCCAAAATGATCTAAGGTTCCAGCCCACCTCAGAAATCATGAGACTCCTGAGTTGTTTGGACATGAAAAGTGCTATGAGATTTTACTCTTTAAAATAAACAACGTGAAGCTGATTCATTTGACTAGAAGCTTGCAAAATGCCTTTCAGGGTAATTCCTGTAGTAGCACGTTGCTTTGGAGTTAGCCCATCTCCCTGCCTCCCCTGCAGTGTCCTATCACAGCTCATGTCAGCCTGGGATTTGTCTCTGTGCGTTATCCTGATCCAGGGGAGGTGGCAGAGCAGGACCTGGAAGGCACTCCCGTGCCTGGGACACCAGCCATGTTCCCCTGCAGATGGAAGTGGTGGGTGGACCTGCAGCTACAGAGTCTGACTCCAAAGAGGGCTCAAAGAGAGCCCTTTGAGCTCTCAAAGAGAGACTTTGCTGCTCACTTTCCTCTGGACTGACATGTAATCAGGCCAGCTGATTAGCACAGAAGCAGGGAAAGGGAGGGAGTGCCTGCATTCCTCTCTCAGGGGCAGGAATAATGTTATTAGCCTGTATAATTGACTGTGCTATTCCTACAACTTGCCACAGACTGTGGAGGCACTGCATCTTGCAGGGCGGTGAAGATGGAAAAGAGAAAGAAGAAAATATTCATGCCCTTTATGAAGGTAGGGCCTAAGTTTTGAGCTGTCATATTGTTAATTGAGGAACATGGCTGCAATGTCCTACACACAGCCTGCACATTTCCTCAGCCACCAAAAAGGGTTCCCATTGCCACAGCAGCACTGTGCCCACAGGGTTCAGATACAAGGGAGGACTGTAATGTACAAGGTCAGGCTGCTGCAGAGTGACTGCTCAGCATAAAATAAGTCCAGCCTGCTGGTAGTGTGTCCTAGAGTCAATGCTTCCGTGGTCATGGTTCAGATTTCCCAGAGAGGAGCATCTCCACACGTGAAGCATTGCACAACCCAGCTACTGCCAGAGCCTACTGCTCCTTTTAAAGGAGAACACAGATTTAAATACTGACTCTCCACCACAACTGAAAAGACAAATGTGTACCCAAGGGGATTAGTCCCACCTCTTTCATTTTCTTTTTCCCATTTGTTTGAATTGTAACATCAATAATGAGTTTGAGTCAGTCAATCTCTTCCTTTTTGATTATTTATTCCAAGAGACAATGAGGTTTTTTTGAATGGGAAAATCAAATGGAAAGAGCCCAGAACAGCCAGGTAATTGCAAGCAGTTCCCAAAACAACTGAATCTCGATAAACCCTTTCACAGCAATTCAAAGAAATATGGTGGGGGCATTTTTCTTTGGTGCAGAACCTGGCTGCTGAAGCTCATTTTTTTCCTTGCTCTTCTGCAATGCCAGGGTGGGACCATGCAGAAATTTCCCTTCAGATGAGATCTTGCAGGGATTTGTGATACTGGGCGGGTTACATACATTATTATGGTCACCACACTCTAGGTGATATTTTAAGAGCTGCTGGGTAAGTTCACAGAAGAAACCTCTTGAGGGCTGTTCAAAACAAAGACCACCTGCAATGGAAATGTTTCTTACCCAAAAGCTACCCCAGGCTAGGGATGTTCTGGGCAACAGTGTGCTGCTGTTTGCCCTGCTCTGTCACTCCCTCCTTTCTGACCACTTTGACCCACTGTTTGGCTCAGTGCTGACACTCCTGCCTTCACTCCTTCCTTGTTTTATTTGAGGACTCCAGTGGGTTTGTGTTTCTCCCTTCCTCGAACATCTGGTTCAGCCCAAACCTGGAGGCCAGCTACCAGGACAGACACAATTTTGCTTTGACAGAACTCTTTTCACATGCTTATTTTCCAGACCCCTGAACTGCAAGGAGCTATGTCTTAAACCCCTTCCATTCAACCAACAGACACATCTGAGACAGAGCCTTTGTTTTCATGTGTCTGATTACCCTTGATGATGTCTTGACTCCTCTTTTAGAGGACTCTGACCCCATGCATGGGGGTTAACATGGCCTGTTTCCAAATGTGTGACAATTTTAATTAAACAGGAAGAAGACATCCCCCACAGGCCCCTGCCTGTGCCTGGAAAAGTCACTGAACAGCTGTTGAATCTTGCAAAATATATGCAGAAAGGAGCAGGTTTATCAAATGCAGGGAGGAGCTTCCTGGCACATGGGAACAGCAAGTGGGAGAGGGAGGGGAAATGGGGTGATGTAGATCTGTAAAAAGCAGCAACTGCTTTATCCACAGACCTTTGTCCCCACCTATTAACAGATTTGCTACCTGGCTCCACTGTAGTCACTGCATCTCGCTTGCTTGCTTGTTTGCTTGGAAAACTGAAAATGGCCTGGTGGTTTTGGAGTACCCCACAGCCCCATGGCTCCCTGGAGGAGGCAGAAGCATTGTGGCAAACACAGCAGCTCACCTGTGGTAGGTGTTGGCCACCCAGTCAAGCAAGGTGTAGAGCTCGTGGAAGTCCAGCGGTCCCTGGGAGAGTTCTTGCAAATGTGAGGCAATGGCATTGTGAAAAGCTTCCACATATGTGTCACACACCTGGTACTCCTCTGGATAGCATTTTTTTACTGATGACTTGATTTTCAGTAAATCTTCCCTCAGGTGTTCCTGGAGGAAATGTAAGTGGAGATCAAGCCAAGAAGTTGCCTCTTCCCTTGATGCCATGGGTGCCTTCAGGACTCTTTTTCTTGCACTCTCATTGACAGCTTCCCTCCATTGCTCCCTCCACTTTCTGGGCCTGCCCAGTAAATCTGAGCTAGGACGAGCAGCATTGTCTGTGCTGGAATGAGCTGCTTCTTCAAGGGCAATTAAAGTCACCATGGAGGTCAGCATGGTATGCTGTAAAGTGGGATCCTCCAGTGTTTCCTCCACTATGGACTTGATTGCATTTGTGATGGAGTTATAGAGCAAATCCACATCCTTGGATTTCCGTACGAGCTCCTGGGGGTTATCACTGTATTTCTCAGAATCCCGTTCAGAGATAGTCTCATCTTCCATTAGCTTGATACTTGCAAATGCTTCCAAAAGTTGTCTTTTCTGAATAAGTTCATTGATTTCCATTACTGCAGAAACAGGGGGAAGGGGTTGGGACAAAGTAGGCATTAGGCTATTGACATGTTGGTAACAGGGAGATTTGCAGGGAGCTCTTCAGAGTAGTCAGGTCCCAGCAGTGCCTCTGAGACTGCCCTGGGCCTCCCTGATCTCCTCAGCTCCTCTTGGACACAGGAGTGAAAAACAGTGGGACAGCAATCACTGCAAATTGAGCCACATCCCTAAACAGCTGGTTACAGAGACAGGAAATATCAAAACACCTGCTGATAGCTCTGCAGGAAGGCCTCAAGCAATGGCTGGTGAGGCTGCACAGAAGGACACTGGAGGCTCAGGCTGCATAAAACTCTGCCCCTCTGGCTCTGTCCCTCTGCTGGTGTGGAGATGAGGTGGAACTGGCAGTAGGAATGGTTCAGGATATACCTTACCAGCAGGATTTCCTTTAGCATAAATGTCCTTGTTTCCCTGTATACCACTGTGCTCATCACAGCTCTGCTGCTGTGTTGGCCATGGTGGTGCAGCCCAGCTCAGGCACCTCAGTGTGCTGCCCAAGAGGGCAGGAAGAGTGCCCAGGGTTCTGGCAGGGGCAGTGGGAGGGAGCACAGCAGGACAGACCCTTTGGGTGTCCTGAACTCTTGGGTCAGATCTCTCTCTCGATGGTTATGTGTGTCCCAGCCTACCCACAAGCATGTCCTCAGAGACACCAGGGCCCTGAGAGCCTGCTGTCTGTTAGCCCACAGTCAGGTGCCAAGCACTGCCTCACACCAGTGATGCTTTTTTACCACGTGCTGAGCACTGCTGTCCCTCAGTGTTTTGGGGAGGTGAGGGCATTGCAGGGGCATCTAAACCTGTGGATTTGTGGTGCTCCTGGTACTCAGGTTTCACATGGGTTTCTCCACCTCCTTTTCTTTTGGCACTCACTGCCAGAACAGGCTGGTGTTGGCTGGGGGAAAGTCACCCAATACAGCTCCTCCCAAAGTGGCTGAGTTCTACTGAATTTCCCATTTGTTTTGCAAAGTCTTGCTCATGCAAGAACCACTGTCTATTTGCCAGTGAGATAAGAAGTATTTGCCATATGTTCAGGAGGTCCAAGAGCACTGTTAGCCTTTGAGAGACTCCAGGAAACTCTCACCCTCTCCATCTCCCTAACAGTTGCTTTGAACAAGGGATACCACTCTGACACCGGGCATAAATAAAATACTAAAGAGAAGGGAAAGGGTATCCCTTAGGAATGTGTGGCCACTGCTTCTGGGACATACACATACAAAATGATACAGAAAAATTGGAGAGCACTCAAAGAAGGACTGGTTCATAGCACATAATTTCTGCCCTTAGGCTTGTTTGCAGACAGGTTTTATGCCATATGTGCCAAGTAATTTTTGTAGCACTAAAGTATCTGTATGAAGACAGAAATATGCCAAATAACCAAACTATTGATGCATCACAGAACACATAGATCTTTGAGTGCCTCTTTGGTACTACAGTTGCTTCTGTACTCAGAAAGGAGAGAAATTCTATCAATTAATTAAGTTGGACTCTTCTAGATAAATTAATATAAAACCTGTGTTTACACAAATGCTTGCAGTGAGAGACTAGAGAAATACATTCTGTTCTGTTTATCAAAGTGAGAAAACACCATTTAATCACCATCTAGGATAATTATTCAGGGAGGTGATGTTGGGTGCTAAATGGATCTTTTAATTCAGCAATACAAGATCAGCCAGCTGGTGCTTGAAGGAAGACAATTGAAAGGCAATTAACTATTATGCAGCTTAATGGTGCACGTGGTGGAATCTCCATCACTTGCCATATTATCTCAGGATGGGATGTGTTTCTGACAGAGCTGCTCAAGTCCAGGCCAAACACAAGCTATTGGGCAGAGAATGGGCCTTATTCATGCAATTTCTCAGCTCGTTTATTTCAGGAGATCAGAAAGCTTGTGATAACATTTTCTGCCACTCCTCATCTCTGACCCTTGGAGATCAGACTAGCCAAGTTTATGAGGTGGGCTCAGATCCAGCTTACCAAGCTCACAATGTATCAATGTAAAGCAATAAATCACTTCCCAGCCCAGTAGAGCACATTACAGCACTGAGGCAGTGTCAGCCCATGCATCTGATCCCCGTGGCACCCTGTGCAGTAGACCAAGAATTTCTTTCCAGAAATTTAGGCTGAGGAAAGGCCAGGTCATGTTTCACCTCAGTCTATCTACAGGTGAATGCATTGTAGCGCCTCTGCCCTGAGAAGGTGGAGGACAGCAGTGCTCAAACCATTATCAAAGTCATTGCAGTCTGCTTACACCTGGGGAAAGGTGAGAGCTACACTAAAGGGAATTGTTATAATTTGTCTGAGACTTAGCTATAAAATGCTGACAAAATACATGAGAGTAACCAGCCTGAGGAAGACAAAAATCAAATACTTGCAACACTGCTATTGTGAGGACAGGTGGAAAGTCAATGCAAGAGAGTAAAATATCTGCGGGAGTCTCTTTGCAAGGCAATCTCTAAGATTAGGAACCAAAGTGGAGCTTCCAAGCCAAATCATAGCCAAACCATCTTTCTTCCCCTCTAGGCCTTGCAGCACCCTACAGAGCACAGTTGGAGGACCATTAGTCTGAGAGCTGAAGAGCAGAAATTGTCCAGAACAGCAATGCAGGCAATAGCACACTGCACTTGTAGGTACTGTCAGCCCAGCAGTTCCCACACTGTGCTCAGCAGCTTGGTGGCTGATCCGTGTGATGGGCAATATCACACTGACAGGTTGATAGGGTGGCTGCTGATGTGGCTAAACTAACACAGAGGAGGCCACAGAGCAGCATGCTCAGTGACAGAGCCTTGCCCAGGCTAGGCCAGGTAACACCCAAAAAGTCCATGCAAGGGGTGCCCAGTTCTTTAGCACCTCTGTTGGGCCCAAGCCTTGCACACTAAATTAATGTTACATTTACCCTGCCAGGAAAATGGCACCGGTGGTTTTGTGTCTTACCTGAAAGAGGTTTTGCTTCAATGGGCTCACATATTTCACCAACCTTCTCCACGCTATTACAGATCGTGGGTTTTTTCTCCTCATAGCTCCTGAGTGTTTGCAGAAGTCTTTTTGCATTCCAAGTGCCAGAATCTTCCTTCCCTTTCTCTTTCTTCAGACTTCGCTTTGATTTCCGGATGCTTAACATTGTTTTAATACCTCTTTCAAAGAACCCACTGTCTCTGCTCTGTGAATCTGAGCTGCTCAGTTCAGAAGCGACCTCCATCTTTTCCTCCCCTGGACTGTTCAGTGGAGAGGCTGGTTCTGAGGTCACACTCCTTGTGTCTAACTCCATATTTCTATTTATCTGGTCCTTCAACAGGAGGTTTACCAAACAAGTTGATGGCAATCACTGAAATGCATAAAACAGCAGAATTAGAGATGTCCTTCACAGGGCATTACTGTGTCTCCAAAGTCAGTCCTGGACTGAAAATCTAACCCGTTCCTTTCCTGTGCCTAAATATAAGGACAGAGCAAGATGTTGCAGCCTGTAGCTCCTGAAACAATCTCTCTACCCACAGACAGCAGGTGCTGGCCTGCACATGGTGCTCTGGAAAGCTTCACTTAACTCCATCAAACAGGCAAGTGGCAACTATTTCTCCAGCACTAAGGAATCATGAGAAATTAGAGATGTTGAAATCTGTGTAAACATACCATTTCAGTGGGTAACCAGAAGTGGTTTTACTTTCCATTCTTCTAAATAGATTTCCAGCCATGCAGGAATAATAATCTTCCTGAATCTCACTGGGTTGTTTCCACTTTCTGATGTGAATATGGCATCTTTGGGTTTTGTTGCTACTTCTGCCCTGCTCAAAACCTGAGCCGCTGCTGCTGCTAGAGGTGGCCCAGGGGTGAGTGGTTCCCAGCAGGTGGCTGAGCTCTTCTCTAGCCCCTTCTACCAAAGCCACAACTATCTCTGCACTCTGAATTGTCATGGTTACAGCACAGGAGGCAGCACAAGGCAGGAAGGGTTCACATCACTCATCTTGCCTCGGAGCACAGCATCCCAGCATGCCAAGGATGGGTATCTCCAGGGTCAGACAAACTCTGCACAAGCCGCAGGGGATGCTGCAGGAGATTCCAGATTTCAGCAGAACTGCTTCTGTCAGTGCTGCTGGGCTGTAGTCACAGCCTCTGCACTTGCTCAGCTCCTGCCCTGCTGCAGACAACCTCCCCTCTGCCCACCCTGAGGGCTGCCCAGGTGTTTGGGAAGAGGGAGGAGAGAGGTTTTGCCTTCTCTCCTTGCAAAGGGCTCCCATCAGACCACCAGCTGATACAGCCCATTCACAGAGCCGTTGTACATTGCAGTGCCCTGAGGGTGGAAAATTCCTCATTTCTCCAGAGCAGGCTTAAGGCAGCTGAGTGAACAGTTCAAATGAATAGAAACAGCTATTGCTTGAGGTGACACAGGAACTGCCTGTCTTGGGTGTCCAGCCCACAGAAGCCAGAGATTGAAAAATAATTGCAGTCAATAGACATGTTGGGACTCTGGAAATTGATCTCATCCTTTCTCAATCGGAGTTTTGCTCACTTGTGCAGGGTTATTTCATAGGCTGTGAACTGCAGGGATGACATCTTCCCATGGGTTTGCTGAGCTGCTCACCCAGTGGGGCTCAGACCCTGCCTCACACACTCTCACAGGAGGGAGTATTTAACAATTCACCACCTTGCTCAGGAGCTCACCCATCCCATACAGAGGGTGGGAGGGACAGGAGGGCACACCACTGCCCAGGGATTTCAGTGAAAGGAGGCTGAGATGTCAGCTCAGACTCTGCATGGGGGTTCTGCAGAGCAGCAGCAATGGTCTAAGGGGTGACCGAGATGGTGGAGAGAGCCGGGGGAAAAGGAATAAAAGGGGTGAGCCCGTGAGAAAGGAAAGGAATACATACCCCAGTACTGACAGAAGTGATCCCCTCCGCAGCAAGCTGGGATAGCACAAGTGTGATCCACAGAAACTGGGAGCAGCTCCGTGCCGCAGGAAATCCAGAGCAGATGCAGTGGTGGGTGAGCAGCTCTGCGGGACAGAGCTCCAGGCCAGCTCACCCACCTCAGCTGACTGGGGCACCATCCCTTACACACGTGCTGGCTGAGGGGCTCCCTCTGGGCATGGTGCTGCTCTCCATCCTCCTTTACCCTCTGAAAAAGGCTGTTAAAAGTGGGGAAAAAGACCTGTCTGCTCCTGCCCAAGAGCTCCAGCACCTTCACTTGTTTGATCTCTGGAAAAGACTCAGCACTGTTTCACTTTCGCTACGTCTGAGCATTTAAAAGAAAAGGTTGGGGAAAAAAAATTCCAGGTTAATTATTACCTACAAGTGGAGACGGGGCTTCAAACCTGAGGTTCTGCGATGGGGTGAGCTGCTGCCTTGAGATGGCCTGGGGCAATGAAGGGAAGGAGGATTTCAGGATGAAGTCCTGTCCTGATGGCTGAAGCCCCACATTATCTGGGGGTTCAAAAGCAGCCCCAGAGCTGCTGTGTGGGATGGCTGCATTTCACCCCCTTCTGCCCTGTTTGTGCAGGTCACGGGTGGCTTGGTCCCAGTAATGATTGCCAGAAGTGGGTGAGGGACCTCTGTAATGTGTCCCCTGATTAAATATTTATATATTCACATCCTCACTTTGCCCTGTGGGCACTTATTTCCATGGGGTTCCTAGCCCTGGATTACTCCATTCTCAGAGCATTTGGGACCCTTAGAGGAAACTCAAAGCAAAACAGCACCAAAAAAGGGGCCTTGAAGGTTTAAACAAGGTTAAACACAGCCACTTGGTTTGTCACTGAGTTGTGTAAAATTATTTAACCCTGGGGCTCCTTTAGTGCCCAGATAGAGGCAAGTCAGGCTGCCAGGTGTCCAAGGTCCTGGTGTGAAGCAAGAGGGGTAAATCAGGAGGTGCCACCATGCCATGGGCAGTGTGCACTCCTTTGCTTTAGGAGCCTGCCAGCATGCCACCTGGCAGTGTGATAAGGGACATCAAAGAGATTAGTGAGAGGTGCAATAAATGGCATTTGGACTTTGTGCTGTGCAGAGGAGAACAGACAGAGAAAGGAGGATAACAGTCTCCTCTACCTCTGGGAGAGACTCTGTGTCCAGAAGATGGAAAGTGTGTGGGATGGGAATAATTATGATCATATTAAACAGGGAAGCATGGCAGCATGGACTTGGTGTGAAATTGCCCTGATGGTGAGATGGGACTGGGCAGCATCATTTGTGTCTGCTCCATGGTGCAGGGGGAGTCCTGCCTGAAGCCTCCCTCAGCCAGGCAGTGCAGTGCTGAGCTTTCTGTCCTTGGGCTCTTCAAAGTCATGTGCAAGCCAGACACTGCCCTGCTGTACTGGGGAAAACCATTACTGATAATGCTTCTGCCACCTGGCAGGCTGACAACGTGAACAAAGGAATGAGCTATTTATTCAGACACAGGTTGAAGGGTGGAAAGCCCCTTTGGACACAAAGTCCAACTAAACCTCTTTCCATCCAGGTTTTAATTGCCTCATCCACAAAATATTTACCTGGTGGTTTGTACAGACATGCTCACTGTGACTGGCGTGCTGCCAGAGCAGGCAGCAGGTCCAGCATGGATGGGGTCTGACCAGCCCCTCTCTGGGGGCTCTCAACTACCCCAAGACACAGCTGGCAACAGGGCCTGCTGGGATGTCAGACAGAAACCTAAGGGAGCTCTGAATCCCACAGTCTAGATCACCTCTTTCCCTACAAGCCTTTCTGGTGCTTTCTCCTAGCAGCAGCTCTCAAGGAATGCTCCTGTTCCTGGAAATGCCATCAGGGCAATGCTGTTTCTAGGTGTCTGTCCACAGAAGATCATGGGAAATGAAAAATATACTAGGTTTTGCAGTTGTTTTCCATTTTTCTTCAATTATGGGTTTTGCAAAGTGTTCTGTCAAGTTGTAGGTGCATTAAAATCTGCAGGGGTGTTGCTGTCTAACAGCTCCCTAGTGCCCTGCACCCACAAACCTCTGTGAGGCTTTCAACTGCTGCTTTGCCTCCTGACCCTTTGGAATATTTGGTTTGGGGTTTATTTGATCCTTCATCTCTTCTCTGTGTCTTTTGCTCATATTTCTTTTCATCTTTCTTATTTCTTTTCCTGCAATAATACCTGTGGAGCAGTGTAGGACTCAGAGGTGCAGTGCTCCTTGGCAGAAGTGAAGGGTGCAGAGTGGTTTGGGGGAGTCCTGCAATTCCCTCCACAGCACTGAGGTTTTCATCAGCTCCAAAGAGCAGGAGAAAAATGTATTGCTGAGGCTCCAGGGGAATGCTGCTATGATGCATATTCAGAAACCTGCACCAGATGCCCCCTCACAGCCTCAGCAACCCAACTGGCACAGCCCTGGTGGGGCATGCTGTGAACCACTCCCTTTCTGCAGGTTTCACTTGAAATCTCACCCTGTGTGGGTGGAGGAGACCCCAGAGCTGCAGTGATTTATTGCAGCAGTGAGGTTTGATATTTTTAACAGCATCGGCAGTGATGGATGAGGCAAAGACACGCTTGGAGGCTGCACATGCCTATGCAGCCATTTCCTCCTGAGGGGTGCTTTGTAAGGAAATGAGAGATATTGTTTCACCTGAAATATTTTTCTTTCTGCTTTTAGGTTGAGGGAGGTTTGAGCCTTAAGCTGAAAAGTCCATTTGCAGAAAAGAAGCAGGTTGTGATTTAGAGGCTGGCTTTTACAGAAGGGATGCTGGCCCCCAGGTTTGAGTGGAAGAATTTGGAAGGTGCATTTCTGCAAAACACAGGAGTGTTACCACATCTGGGAGAGGATGTGGTCCAGACCTAAGGATTGTGTCCTACACTATTCCTGTGTAGCCATGGGAGGAAACCACATGAACTAGTATACATCACACCAGGGAACAAAATCACAAGTGCTCATTTTGTTTCAGAAGGGTGGCCCAGGAGGATTTTCCATGAGGGCTGCCACTGCTGTGGAAGTTCATTGTAGGTGCTTTTGAAGGATAGACATCAAAGTTTTCCTTCCTCTCCTCCTAGAAAAGGTCTGGAACAGGCCTGTTCAAGCAGGAGCTCTCACACTGGTTTTCTTCTTTTGAAGTGAAATTGTTTTAATACTTTCAGCAAGCCACCAGCCCCATGTGCTATGCCAGCTGTGCTGAATCATGGCAGGACTCATGTGAGCCCAACAGGAACGGCAGGGCTGGGAGACAGGCTTTGCCACTCTCCTGATCTGATTCTTGCTGCAACAGCCCCACAAGAACATTTTGCCAGCAGGCACAGACCAGCCCCCACGGGCTCCAGAGCTGCCTGGTGCAGCCAGGACCAGGGCAGTGCCTGTGTGCTCCCCCAGCCTGGCAGCAGCTCTGCTCCTGGGGATGCAGGTGCATCAGGGAGGCACTGATGCACTGTGGTGAGCATTTCTTCTGCTTGTTTGCAACTGCTGCGAGCTGCTGAGTGGATGGATGGTAATTGCTAATAGCTGGCTGTGCAGGCTGTGTGCTCTGTAGCCCATTGGTTTGCAGTGGGCATCAGCAAGGCCAGGGTGGAGTCCACCAGCCCAGCCTCGAGACTGAAATGTCACAGCTCATTGGCTTCAGGTGAAAGCTGAGCAGGGTGCCCTCATCCCTCTCATCACAGGAGCTGCCAAACCAGAACTCAAAGAGCAGAAGTTCTTTGTGCATGACACTGACAGTGGATTATCTGTGATTGTCCTTCTGCTCTTAATTCAACCTATGCTTTGCCAAAACACCAGCCTGCTGCCACAGCTTTTCACTGTGGTGCGACTCCACTGGCTTCAGTGGGATGGAGTCTGATGTCCAAAAGAGCAGGGGGTAACCAGCCCCGTCTTCTGGAGATGGGGCATTGAACCTAACAGTGAGAATTTCCTCTTGGAGCTGGGAAGGGCTGAATGTTCCTGGGGAAACATTCCTAGCAGCCTTTGAGCAGGAATAAAGCCCTGCTGAGCAATTCAAGAAAAGTTAGACTACTCTGTCATTTAAATTAGGTGACTAAGAGCAGACCACTTCTGGAGCCAAGGCACCTGCCTGCTGTGCCTGTCACCACAGCTAGATGTCTGCTGTTGAAAATGTATCATTGAGGCCAAGGACTGAGCTGGGAGCTGAGCACTGCCTCTGCTGCAGATGACGGGGAGGTTGCACAAAGCAGCAGCTTGTGCTTCTCCTTTGTGGGGTTTTGCTTTACTGTACTAAAATTTCCACTCTACAGTGCTCAAAAACTTCATCAAAGCCAGGTTAGCAGTTGTTTGCCACATTGCTGCAGGACGTTCTAATGCACAAGGACATTGAGAAAAATCAATGGAGCCTTGGGAGAAACATCTTTGGTATTTTCCCAGTTGAACTTTCTCCAGGTTAATCCCAGGCTTGGTTTGATAGAGGGAGGAAAGGTGCAGGCTGGTTCTTATCTGAATAACACTTTGAGTCCCTGGCTTTCTTCCAGTGCTGAAGGGTTCTTGTATCACACCTTTTTATTGCCCACACCAGTGTGAGTTTTGATGCCCATAGCAATGCCCCAGGGAAGGGAGAGGCAACTTTTTCTGAACATCTCTCTGGATGAAGCCTGACCTCTGGAAATCTGAATTTTCTTTACCTTTGGTGGATGGGAAAAACTGAGAACTAGTACTTTATTGAAATATATACTTCTGTACCATTTTTTTAAAATTAGTGTTTTTGAAGTTGCATTGAAGATGTTGTCACTGTAATCATTATATTTCTATAGAGATTATAATGACTCCTTTTGAAGAGTTAGTCTCAGTCAGTCAGTGCTTAATTCACATATCAATGACTCCATAAACCCTAAACCCATAAATCTGCTGAAACTGCTCAAATTTATTGTGCTAATGAATGTTTGCAGGGGCTCATCATTGCAGAGATAATTCACCTAAGGAGCTGCCCCTATGAGTGGGTGGTCGTTGATGGCAGAGGAGCCTCATCTCTGTGAGGCAGCTGAAGGTTTTATAACCCAGCCACTCTCAGGGCAAGCATTAGAGCCCAGACACTATTTTTGGCTGATATTCTCCAGACTATTTCATGTGCAGTCCATCAGTCTTACCCTCAGAATCTTTCCCATCATGGAGAGAGCTGGGCATCATTTCCGTGTGATGGTGGGGTGGGTGGAACCAGTTGGTGCGGAAATCATGATGTCATTTTGTTCAGAGTGAACTGGTTAAGCCATAGCTGGTTATTAAGCCAACAAAGGCAGTAGCTCCTAACCAGTTATTAGAGTGTTTGCAAACCCTTGCTCCTGCTGCTACAAAACACTGGGCACTTCTTCTGGCTGACTGGAATCTGTCTAATGACGCTATTCTAAACCAGTCCTAGGAGCTTGTCCTTTATTCTGATAAATGCATAATCTGTATGGAAAACTGGAGACCAGTAGCAAACAGTGCCAGAATCCCCTGGAGCAGCAGGAGTGTGGGCTGCTGCCAAGGAGATAGGTGGGAAACTGCATGTTCTTGTGGCAGTCAAGTGATGCAGGTGTATAATTTGAGTAGCCCCAAAGCACTCGGCCCTGAC